TCACAGATGGCAGCATTAGATTATCTTGTTTCACTGGAGAGTGATATTTTTGTCCCGACATATGATGGAAACATGGCTAAAGTTGTTGAAGGACATCGCAGGTACTTTTTTTTAATAACCATGGTGTCTGGGCTAGCTTGCGCGCACGCATCCGTGGAGTTACTGGTCTCGATAAAATTTTTAGCTTCCGTTGTTGAGAATGTACTTTGTAAGTAGCTTTTCGTTAAGGACTTAAAGTTTTCCCATTCTATGCAGATATCTTGGATTCAAGAAAACGATCTTGCTGGACAGAAAGCATCTAGTCGATTTGATAGACCAATATAATGCTGGATTCTTGACGTGGGATGAGTTTTCTGCTGCTGTTAAGGAAGCTCACGCTGAACGCATGGGAAACCCTACTAAGAGGTTGGTGATTCCAGACCGGCCTAAAGAAGAGGATTATTTCTACTCCAACCCGTGGGAATGCTTAGAACCATCTAATGAGGATGAAACATCAAGTAGCATTTAAAACACGGTGGTGGTTACATTTGGTTAGAAGAAAAGACTCCCCATGCAGTTCCGTTACATGCTTAGAGAATACTCTTCAACACTGCATGACCGTTGAGAAAGCAGGTTTATCTCATGGAGGCGGCTGTTGAAGTTCAGGGTAAGGCGCATTTTAATGCCCCAGAAGATGTAGGTAGCATTCGGGACGGGTACATTAGAATGTTCTACGCAAATTAACAACCAAATTCATGTATATAGGAGCTGCACTCCGTTTGCGAGTTACATCACTGCAGCCTGCAGTGTACACCAAGAGGGGTGAAATGTAGATTTGTTTAACTGGAAACTCTGGATTCACAAATTTAAGGCTCCATCCCATACCTTAGTTGGGGCCCCTTTATACACATTGCTTAGTTTCCTCATTTCTTTTCCCCCTTTGTACACACTGCTGGTTGCTCTACATTGTTCATGTTGTGACATTCCTGAAACTTGGGCAGTTCATGGAAATTTATTTGCTATATATAATAGGAGTTTATCTCCTTTTAATTTGTTAGTCTACATGTTTATAGAGTTGATAATTGATAATTTGAAAGGTTTAGTTTGAAAGGAGAGCCTTGGCGTAACTGGTAAAGTTGCTGCCATGTGACCATGAGGTCACGAGTTCGAGCAGTGGAAACAGGTTCTTGCAGAAATGTAGAGTAATTAAGGCCGCGTACAATAGACCATTGTTGTTCGACCCTTCCCCGGATCCCCCAAGCATAGCGGGAGCTTAATGCTGTCCAACGGGACAAGACGGGATGGGACTAAATAAACGGGACGGGACGGGACGATATCTAGCCGGAACGGTGGCGAGACGAGCCTAAACGGGACGAAATGGTAGGCCCATCCCATCCCGTTGACAAACGGGACGGGACGGTTCGCGGGCCTTAAGTGGGCCTTTTAAAAAAAAATTTAATTATTTAAGCATTTGGCAACGGCTAGTTTTTTGACAATGACTAAGTTTTTAAAGTTTGTAATTGCTAGTTTTTTGACTTATTTAATAAACTTAAAACTTAATAAATTATAAAGAAACTAAGTAAAG